TTTTTTTTTTTTTGTTGCCCAAGGCCGTTTCCTCTAATATGTTTCCTGGAAACCAAGAACAGAAAAGTAAGGAGTGCGGCCTTGGGATTGACGTAAATGACCAGTTGGTTGACGCGTGCTAGCCACCTTCCCCACAAGAGGGCAAAGATGATGTGGCTGGGACATGTCATGGCTCTCTCTGCTCTGGTCCTTTCCATTTTACCCCCAAGTAGTCCGAAATTGGCCACCGATTTTGAAAAGCAAGCTTAAACCGAGGTAAAAATCGGCTCTGGATGAAGCCCTCAGAATTGTCAGTCGGACTTTTTATCCACTCCAAGGCATGGACAATTTAGAGCATCCAGTGAACCTAGCTTGGATGTTTTTGGAGACGCGTGGGGAGCGTGACGCAAGTAAGAAGGGAAACTCCACAAAACAAGAGTCGGAGCCGAGATCGCAACCCAGAACCTCGAAACTGTGAAGATACGAACGCAGGACCTTGGAACACAATCCGCATGCTGGCTGTGGTGCCAACCTAAATGTTCTGTCCACTGGTCGCGACTGATCCGCAACTCGGACGTCAAAACAACTCATGACGCGAGCGTATCGAAAATATGGTTTATATGCGTGTCATTTCCACTACTTTTCTCATCATCTTTCACTTGTAGCGTTGAGTTATGAAACCAAATGTGCTATTAAAAAAAATAAAAAATGTAACGTAGCCTGCACGTGCTATTTTATTAGCCTCCTTCGCCCCATAAACGTAATTGATGGCTAAGTTAGGTGCTGGAGTGTGGATAGTGAGACACCCTTGGATGGAGAAGCCACTGTGATATAGTGCCGCTTGGTTCCCTCCAACCACGCCGCCTTGCTCCCTCCTTGGCCGTCAGAGCAGCACGGAGGCGTGGCGGCGACCACACAAAAGAAATATTTGTCCAATCTGTCCAAGCAAACTCCCGCAACCCCCCGATCGAAGACCCCGACTTTCCCATCGTGCTCATTCCGCGTTCTGTGTAATTGAAAAAGAAGAGTGATGCTTGGAATGGGAGCTGGCTGGCTGGAGGTGACTCGGGAGGGAAAATACTCGCCGAGCGTGATGGATTATAAACATCGATAACAGTAAAACTGATCCCCGTGAAATTGTGACGTTAAGATATATTTTCCCTTTCGGTCAAATATTTCAAGTGATGAGAGCAGTAGAGAAGATGAATTCAGTGGAACTCTGAAGCCGCACACTTAAGCGGGGTTGGCGAAATTGTTTTTCACATTTTTATCCATTATGAAAATGTGAAACATATGACGTCGAAAAATGTCTGTCTTCTTATTTCACTGATAGCGTGTGATCAAAACACACACACACAAGATCGCTTCCGATAATGGAAAATCTGCTTCCCTTAATGAGATGTCTGTTGTAGTATCAAGACTGACCTGTGAGGGGCAGCACCGTGCCACAGGGGAATCCATACAGCTGGAAGAAAACAGAAGAAGAAAGCGTCCTAATTTGCTTTTGTTCTATTCGGTGTCACAATGGCCGAGCTTGGTAAATATTGTATGAAAGTTAAGATTCACACTCGATGGGTGGGCAGGCGCAGCAGTTAAATTTTCATCGTGTTTCCTTCTTTTCTTTCAGCGTATTTTTTTTTCTTCTTCTTCTTCTTTAGAAATGTCAACAATCTATTTCATGATCCGGGAATGGATTGTACCGGAGCTAAAAGGTCCCTCTGTGTATTTTAGTTGTCTGTTTTCCTTTTGTTTCCCTCCCTGACAGCTTTCCTTCAAGAGGTCGGAAGTCCCCTTTTCAATGCGGCCCTGCTAAAAGAGGATGTTGCAATGTGTTTGCGTATGCGTGTGTGTGTATGTCTAAAGTGAAAAGGGTTGCCAGGGCGGCGAGAAAGCGACTTGTTTGCTCACGTCCCGACCTGCAGAATGGACGAGGGCACAGATGGGGCGGGAGATTTTCTTTTTTTTCTTCTGACCCTCATCCCCCGTTGTGTGTTCGGGGGAGACATGGAAACCTCGGCGGGAACAGACAGGCATCCGATTGAACGCAGGAAGACGTCTGAATAGAGTGAGACGAGCAGTGAAAGTCGGGTAGGGTGGGATTATTGCCATGAGGTCAGTATAATGCGAGTTGTCTTCAACAGCTTTTTTTTTTTTTTTTTGGGTGCCGGTGAACCCAGTCACCGGCTAATCACGAGTACGGCTATGTGGTAGGTTGATCGAGCAGTAGCGGCTCTGTCCAATACAAATCAGCTGAGTCCAGGCTCCACGCAGCCATAAAACTTCAAAGCGCCCCCGATTCCCCGCCCCCCCCCCCCCCTTCCATATGTGCTTCCCTCTGCGTCTTCTTGTGGGAACCAAATGCATCCCCGATATTTTCCGATAACATCCAGAGCTCTGCTCGAAAGTGTCCAACACCCTGGTCTACGGTCAACCTGTCCTGTGGAACCTCCTAACTCACAGATGTCAAACTCAAGGCCCGGGGTCCAGATTTGGCCCGCCACATCATTTGACGCGGCCCGCCAAAGCAGATCAAACATGTCGACTTCCATGATCCTTTCTAAAATATCGACCAAAATTCTAAATTGTCATATGTAACAAATAAGAGAGATATTCGAAGCATTTTCTTGTGACCAAACCCCTCATGATAGTAACTTAAAAAAATAGCTGAATCAACAGTTTTTCATGATTTTTTTTATCTGGTTTTAGTCATAACGGCCCTCCTAGTGAAACGGTGACTAAAATGTGGCCCGTGGCAAAAATGAGTTTGACATCCCTGCCCTAACAGTTACAAAATGGCCCATTATTTGGAGTCTTTCGAAAAACTTGGAACTTGTACACGCGCCAAGATCATCACTTTTCAGGAGACCCCCCCCAAAAAAAAACACAAAAAGCTATTTGAATAAATGTAAGACGGTAATCTGATTACTTCTCTCACCGGTAGTGTTTTTGAGAGGTGTCTAAAAGTCAAAATATGCCCACAGTTGAGTTGTTGAGCCAGGTGATGGAGGTTCAGATTTTTTTTTTGGGGTGGGGGGCTATGCTATCATCCCACAGTGCAGTTGTGACTTGCTGACAGGTGTAGCACTCCAGAAGGTCAAAGTTCACGAAAGGCTGCCTCGGCGATACAAGTCTGCAAGCGTTTCTGGACAGAATCCGGCACTTGTGTCGCACTCACTTCGAAGCTAACGTTTGTCAAGATGAAGATCTTGATAACGCAGGAGGCAGAGGCCTCCCCATACAACGCAGCTTTGTTTCAAAACGAGCGCCCATCGGCATCCAGTCAAAGCCACTTTGGGAATGGGACTAAGCCAAGATCATTCGAGAGAAGGGGCCGCGGGGTCCTGGGATGGGGCGGGGCTCGGGCTCGGGAACTCCAGTCACGTGTTGCTGTCACCCGCCACTCATCCTGTTTGTCCGTTTTGGACAAAAAAAAAAAAAAAGACTGATGGCGACACGGATTCAATGGAGTCCATTCAGCCCCAGATCCTGCTACTTGCTTTGGCTTCTTCGAGAAGGAGCCTAATCAGAAATGACGTCGTTTCAAGTCAACTCACCATTAACCGTTTTGTCACAAGCCACACGAGAATTGGTTTTTGAAGGGTCAGAATGACAGAATTTTGTTGCCGTCAGTACCTGATGCCTGGGAATCGACAGCGATGCCCATTTGTGATACTTCCATCTGTGTGGAATGAGCAAGCACCAACAAGTGACTGTTTTCCCCAACAGCCCCGTCTGTTGCAATGCATTGTGGGGCCTCTCCAGTCAGAGATTACTTGCGTTATGCGGCAGTAGCGGTCCATATCTTCCCTTAGTGCTCCAACGCACTTAACTTGACCCCCCCCCCCCCATTGTCAAGCCCCAAGGGACCCTCTGAGGAGTCTTCATATTCACTGGGAGAAAGTTAGACGGCGCAACATGCCGCCCGGTCCGCACCGCACCGCCCCTCCTCCTCCTCCTCCGTCGTGTCTTCTTCCTCCTCCAGCTGGCCAGCAGATGGGAAGACCTGTTGGCCAAGAGAGGGAGAAAGGCAATGAGGAAGAAGAGGGCTGAAAGTAAAGGATAGTGAGTGATAAGCACACTTGGTGGCTGATGTGAACTTAGATAGCCCCGACTCTCTGCGTGTGCGTGGGCGTGTGCGTGTGCGTGTGCATGCGTGTCTTGTTTACAGGTCCTCGCAAAGTGCAGGAAGCCAGACCGTGCGGGGGAAGGTGATGACGATGTCGGAGGATGGGCATTTTAAGGGGAGGTAAGCGTTGTGCTTGCTTGTGTGTGTGCGCAAATGATTCCCCCCCCCCCACCCCTGTCCTGCTTTTTATTTACCTTTTTGGAGGCCCTTCACAGAGGAAGCCAGCGGGTGTGTGGAAATCAACAGGGACTCGTCCTACTAAGATTCATATAAACACCGGTCCTCACGTCGTCACTTGAGCGCTTTCTCTGTGTGTGTGTGTGTGTGTGTGTGTGTGTGTGTGTGTGTGTGTGTGTGTGTGTGTGTGTGTTGTACACAGGTGGGAGCTACAGGACAGGAAGTTGAGTCATCGTTTAATCACTTAGTTGACGTATTCTACGGGCTCAATTATGAGCGAAATGTTGGGCAGGATGATTTTTTTTTCCATTTATCAGTTAATGCGTGTATTTTTTGCAGTTCTTTTTAGCAGCTTCCGTAGTTCAAGACATGTCTTTGCTGACTACTTCCGACGAACGAGAACCGAGAGTCAGTTTTGCCATCGTAGCGATTTGGTCCAGCAAGACCGATTGCTTCTGGACTATTAACTCATTCAGTATCAGCCAATTCTGGACCAAGTCTGAAAAGACGTTTAAAAACGTCTTTGGGAGTGAATGAGTTCACCCTTCTGATATGTTTGAAAATGGATGAAAAAAAAAAAGAATTGGAATTTGGATGACAATTTTGCGATTAGATCTATCAATTCGTAGCAACCAAACACAGCAGGAGCTTCTGAAACCGGTCATTTTCCTCCAGCTATGACCAGTCGCGACGAAAATATTTCCGTGTTGAATTTTCAGCCTAACCCAAAAACGCGCACTTTATTCCACCAAAATAGGTCATCAAATAAGCTTGTTTTGTGGAAAAATCTCTTCAATCCATTACACCGCGTCATGTTTTTTTTTTCTGCAGTGTTTAATAGTTGTGACCTCACTTGCCTGCTTCATTTAATCTGTCATATTTTTGTCCTGCGCGTTTGCTTCGACCATCAGGCGATCAACCTCCTCCCTCAGGTGTCCATTTTGTCTTTTATTGCAAGCCGCCTACGCCTCTATAGCGATGTGAATGACAATGACTTGTCATCTGGCTTCCTCTCCTCCATCTCCCTTCGAACCCCTTCTGCTATAAAATGCTAATTTTGCCTGTCAATTGTCTTTGGCCGGGACAGTGGAGTGAGCTGAACGTGAGAGAAAACGGTTGTCCCATGATGTCGTGTCTTAACTGTTCTCTTTCCCCCGTCCAGGCCCTGCGGGAACCTCATACCAGTGGCGGGCTGTACAAGCTGTGCAGGTAAAAGAAACCCAGCGAAATGAAGAAAATAGACTGTTGGTCATAAATTAATCACATTTCATGCAACAAATATGAGAATTTGAGTTGGAATTGTTCTCTTGGTCTGCTTCTGATCATGTTTAGGCCTCGCTGGACCTGACCGTTCACCACTGGTATGTATAGTCATGTACTGTTGTCTACCTTTTTATAGTGGTCTGCTCCATATTTGTTCGAAAATGGACTCCAGTATTTAACACGCTTCATTTAGAGGCCTGAATAGCTTGTTGAGTCGGCCAGGTGTGTTTGCGCGCTTTCATTCCTTGTAACGACGGATGCCTCTTGTCGGGCTGATTGACCCGCTAAAGTACAGACCCCCCCCCTGTGGGCCTTCGGCTAAATGTGTTGTTTGTTTTTGGATAGCGCAGAATATATTCCAATGGGTTTTATGTCTCGTCTGAGCGGCGGGTAAGAATGCGCGAAAATAAACTGGCATCCTTTGGGGATTGCCCATAAAGCTAAGTAGCACTATAAGGCATGATTCCCCCCCCTGTCTCTCGGGGCGACGGTGTGAATGGTAAATTACGCCGCGTTCACCAGTTGTACTTTGTTGTCCGGTCTTTTCCACGCGACTAGGTCGTGTGTCATACTGTCATCGATTGACTGCGCTAAACCCCGCCAGACTGTTTAATTTGACAGAAGTGGCACAAGACCGGAGGTGTAAAACCGCACTTTGCCTCCTCGGTAAAACTGTGAAGCCGTTACGCTCAACAGAAGACGTACTGAAACTCAAAAGACATCTCCCCAAAAATAATAACCAGAACCAAAATGCTTTGTGTCACCGCTATCTTGATGATACTTTTGACATCTGGAAACATTTTGTTAAGTGTACTTTGCTCGGTGCGAAAAACTGACATTCCATCGTGAACCGTGTGGAGAGCTGCCACGTAAGGGGTGTGCACGCGCAAGTTTATTTTTCTACCGTGACAATGTGGATTTGAGCCGTTCCGTTTCTTCATGAAGAATGTGAAATCCAGGACACGTTAGCGGTCTTTCGCAATGTCTGCCGCTCAGTATCGTGTTGATCATCACGCTAAGGGTGACGGACCATTTTGGTTTTCCCCTCGAACTTTGCCGATAATTACCACGAGAGCCCAAACGCTAACATAACTTTTTTTTTTTTTTTTTACAACTTCATCTTGGTTTCCGGCATTCTTCTCCGTGGTGCAGATTCCTCCCCATTAGCCACATGTTCAACAAAGTTAAAAGACACGCTCTCTTCTTGCATTCAATTGTTGTTTCCAGAACATCTTGAGGGGGGGTGTGTGGAAATGCCGGGTTTCCGCTCGCGAGTTTGTTAGTCCCAGTGGCCTTGCGAGATGTTGCGACGCTATTGTGCTGCGTGTGATTGAACAATGCTTTGAATGTGTTGATGGGCTTTGTACTTTGGCTGGATTTCATTTCCCAGAAATTGATTGGAAATGACTGTGAAAGAAAATAAGGGAGGAGTCAAGGAACAGACCATGCCAACAACACTGGGTGAGAAAGTATTTCGAGTCTTTCAAGTCATTGACGGTCTGAAGTTGGTCCTGAAGCCAACGGGCCTGTCTGGCCTTTCTCCCCAATCGCACCGGGCAGGTCCCTCGCGAACGCTTGTCTGGCTTTTCACAGCCAGTTTGAGGAGCGCCCTTGATTTACGAGTCGTTTCCATCAGAAAACACGCCGTCCGGACGAGCCCCTCACCTCAGGATGATTTGGTGGCGTTTGACTACAGAGGAATGTCTGATGACAATGGCAAAGCGTTGAGCAATTTATTCTCCAAACCGCAGTTTAGTCGATTGCGGAGTCACTCAACTCAAAGCCCGACCGAGACTGGTTATTGCCGTGGTTTTGCCACAAATCGTTGGGCCAAGTCGTTTTGAAGGTGCGATCTTCAGCTATTAACACATTCACTCCCAAAGACGTTTTTAAACGTCTTTTCAGACTTGGTCTAGAATTGGCTGGTACTGAATAAGTTAACGGAATGGCTGTCAAGTTGCTTCAGCTCATCGTGACGCAAGTCCGATTTTTATGGCAGACGCCGGAAGTCGTTCTCTGGAAACCGTCGCGGCGATTGTCGTTATCATCCAGTTGCCATCCTCCAGTATCTCATTGGGAAACCTCGGAAAAGCGCGAGACCTCCAACTTGGCCCCGTCTTCCATTTTTATGTCAAACCATCCTTGACACCAGGTGGGTTCAATTTCCATTCCACCTCAAATTTATTGGGCGCTTTAGCTGCGCTCTGTGTACTTGCCACGGGGTCCAAATAAATTCCGGAACAACGTGTAACGCCACACCAGAAAACATTCTGTATTCAGTCAACTTTTATTGGACATCACAAGCTAAATGCTTGCGGTGATTCACGGCAACTTAAAAAGCCTTCACCAGGCGGTGTCGGGACCCCACTTGCGGTGGATTACAGACATTTGTTCATCTTAGCCGGGGGGGGGTCACGTCAAATGGGTATCGTTCATTTCTTTACGGGCTCGGATTGAAGCTGTGGCCCTCGGGTAAGAGCGTTCCATCATCGCATCTGGTTCTTTTCAGGGGCCCCTTTGTCGGAAACAAACGGAACCAAGTACCTTTGCGGAGCTGTTCTGTCGCTCGTTGTTTCGCGCTGCGAAAATATCACCCCTCTCTTTTTGTCACCCCGGTGATTCCAGATGTCTGCATCGTCTTTTAGCGAAGAGCCATACTCTCATAAAATTTCGGCGGGATGGCGGCGCAACAATTGCCAGTTTACATCACGCTCTTAAATTCTCCCATCGCAACCCTTTTTCTATTCTTCTTCTGCGGCGGCCACAACAGCTGTTTTTCCACTGATGACGGTCTCTTAGTTGAGAATACTTCCCTTGCCCACCCGACGTTTGCGGCTTTGTCATCTCACCTTTCCATCTCATAATTCCTGCGTTTCTACGGCGGTTCGTGTCGAGCAATTAACTCATTCACTCCCAAAGACGTTTTTAAACGTCTTTTCAGACTTGGTCCAGAATTGGCTGGTACTGAATGAGTTAATAAAAGCAGTCGCTAATTCAGCGGCGGTTCAAAGAGAACTAGGACGCGGTTGCTTCTGAAGCGGCGCGAAAGACGGGCGCAAAGACCCATGGGGGATTTCAAGCTCAGCTCTCCGAAGGCTTCTTGGAATCGACGGTCTTTGGCTCACTTGTTGAGTCGGGTTCACCGGGTTGATCCGCCTTTGACCTCCCGTTACAGATGTTTCTTTGAATGCACCTCGACAGCATCTGCAGCCCTCTCGCAACCCGCTGACCGCCATTTCTTGACACTCCAGCGCTCGCTCGCTCTCATTTAATAAGCGTGGTCACACTGAAAGAATTTCAGAAAGTTGCCAAAGTTACCCCAGTAGCAGAGAGGATTCCATTTAAAAAAAAAAAAAAAAAAAAAGATCCTCCTTCAGGGTTTACAGATCAAGATTGAATCTCGGCGTCTGAATAAGGTAGAAATGTGCAAAAAAAAAAAAAAATAAATATATATATTTTTTAAATGGCCCTCTTGTTCCATAGTAGCGGACGTTTATCAGCGGAAATAGTATCCACGTTCTCATAAATTTCCTGTTGTGCACGATTAATGACTGACAACCAGACATGAATTCGCCTGGAGGAATCCGTGGCAAAAAGGAAAGAGGCCAGTTTTGTTTTTCCTAACAAATTTTCACTCTCTCTCTCTCTCTCTCTCTCTCTCTTCCGAACTTAGATATTTCTGTCTTTGGGGGCAAGAGGCAGATAGATCTACTTTTTTTGACATCTTGCCCTTCGGCCGAGGCCCACAGGCCCTTTTCTTTTCAGCTGCAAGCAGAACAAGGTTGCTACTTGTCCCAGAATCTCGGTGCCGTAAATCAACAGATGGGGGGGCTCGCCGAAATAGAGATGTTGAGTGTGAACTACCGGTGGCTTTGCTTTTGTCAAATGAGTCTGAATGCCATGCGGCTGTTGGTGGAGTTCTAAATGAGCGCACTGCGGAGTATCGTTTTCCGATACAAGGAGAAGTCAAGACCCGCTCGAGGAAAGGGTCCCGTCTCATTTTGTCCCAAGATACTTACTTGTCTGCCGCTTTCCATTTAACTCTTGAGGCATCTGATCCTCAAGATTTCGGTGTTTGTCAACGTACTGGAGATTGATGATTCATTAACGTCGAAATGCCACGCACTGCTTTTGACTTTGCGATGTCAGATTTCAAAAGGGGCTTAACGATGTGCTCGGGAACATTATCTGCCGCCGCAACGACGCGGCGATAGGGAGGATGAATAATGAGCCGGAGGAGAACGCCGAACAAGCAGATGGTATTCAGATCTCGTGTGTTTCGGTGAGCTCGTCTGGGCGCTCTGCAGCTGTGAGGTCCGCGCTACTTACTTACAAGCGCGTAGCCCCGGAGCTGTCATTTCACAAAAGGGACGGCTGCGGAACAATTCCCGTCGGTTCTGATTTTCACGGAATTTGACTCACTTTTTTTTTTTTTTTTTTTTTTTTTTTTTAAACCTGTGACACAACACAGGAACCAGCGTTGGCTTGTTCAGACCAAATTATCCCCTGATATAAATTTCAGCTCCTCCCGTTTATTGCCGGTATTCTTGATTATCTGTTGACAGCTGTCTGGCCCACAAGGAACCGAATACTTTTTTTTTTTTTTTTTTTTTTTTTTGGTCACGCACCCACTTAATTGGTGTGTGTTATACTGGAATTCAGGTTGAGGCTTCAGTCTGCATGTGTGTGTGTTTTTTTTTTTGTGTGTGTGTGTGAATACTTAAGTAGTGTCCTGAGCAGGCATTGGTGCTCCTGGTCCTCTTGGTTCAGGTTGCACTTTCCCCAGATGCTTCGTTAATCATCGAGCCCCGATCAAGTCAGCTCCAGCGGCGCCGGGTAACACAAACTAACCCTGCCATCCGATAAACAGAGCGCGAACGGGAGCTCTTTGAAATGAAAATGATTCTTTCCCCAAAAGAAACTGCTGACGTGAGCTTGAAAAACTTCCAGCTGGGTACAGCCTGAGAGATTTCACACAATCGCGGTCAGATGACTCGAGTACCGCCGTGCACAACTCACGGCGCGAAGGAAGTTTGGTTGAGAGGACAAGGTTGTCGCGATTTTTCCACGGGAGCTTGTACACCTTCTCATATTTGGA